TTTGCCCCTTCTCCCCTTCTCTTCTTTGCCCCTCCACCACCCCCTTCATTAATGCCCTCCCTCCTCCCTCTCATAGCTCTATCTAGAGCTACTAGCTAATTATAAGAAGGTGCTCGATATTCCTCTCGACAAATACGTGAGCAAAAAAAGAGTTGTGCAAGAATTGAAATATGTGTGTTTGCTATTAGGATCGAAACTATGTGCGATACGAATATACCGAATTGCATGTGGCATGTGAGTGACATGAGTTGCCTATGTTTTGTCGAAATGTCGATTCATTTTCGTTTCGGCGAATTTCGGGCAAACTCAATATGGCCTATGTTTAGGGAAGGTCATGCCGAATTTTTGTATGAATTTGATACATGCATGCATATATACGTGGTTATAATATTTGCTCCGCGCGCAGGTGATCATGAGGGTCAATGGAAGGATGGTGGAAATATACTAGCAATCCGCTGTGGATGACATGTATGAAAAAAGACTGAAGGATGTTTTATGTCCGTTTCGAAAATGCAAAGAATGTTTTAGGACCAAGGATGGGTCGAAGGCAAGAAAAGACCTGGAATTTTTGAAAATCAGGAAAGATCTCCAAATGCCCGGTAAAAGGTCGTCAGAGGAGACCGAGACGGAGAAAAGACGGAAGATAGGGGCAAAAAGGTAAACAAGAAGGAAGAACAATATTGCCCCCCCTCTTGCTTCACCTTAGATCCGTAGGAGGTCGATCAATTGTTCAAGTGCCTTGCCGGAATCAAAGTTAGTTCCGGATACTATGGGAAGATAAGGAGATATCTGGACACTAAGAAAAAAAGGTTCAGTGGGATGAAGTCTCACGACTGTCATGTGATGACGACGCAGTTACTCCCGGTTGCACTTAGAAGGATTATGGACACACATGTGCCTGAGACGCTTACTGACCTATGCCACTTTTTTGATTTTATCTCTCGAAAGTCGATCAGTGTGAAGCAACTCCATAGGCTACAGGAAGAGATCATTGTCATACTGAATGAGCTAGAGATGTACTTCCCAACCGCGTTCTTTGATGTCATGGTGCATCTATGTGTCCACATCATGGACGACATCATCGACCTAGGGCCGACATTCCTGCATAGCATGATGCCGTTCGAGAGGATGAATGGGGTCATCAAAGGATTCATTCGTAACATGTCCCGTCCAGATGGAAGCATAGCCCAGGGATATCTGACCAAAGAGTGCATCTCTTTCTGTGAGAGTTATCTAACCAAAGACCTTGTTGTTGGTTTGCCCGTCAACAAGCACTGTGGAAGGCTCGAAGGCGAAGGTCACACCAACGGTCATAGGGATGTGAATGTGTTACGCTCGGGCCGACAAAACGACCTTGACAGGGCAAACTTAGTAGTGCTACAACACCTAGATGTGCTAGAAGATTGCGTGACACTGCACAAAGAGACCATCACAAAGAAGTACCGTGACCGTGGGGTGCACAGGACGGACGCTGAAGTTATTAGAGAGCACAACTCCACTTTCGTGTGTTGGTTCAAAGAGCGAGTTCTGGCTAATCCCCCGGAAGAGGGTTGTCCGAACAGAACACTCATATACGCCTTAGCACATGGCCCCTCGACCAACCTCACGACTTATCAAGCATACGATATCAACGGATACACGTTCTACACAGAGGAGAAAGATATAAACCGTGATGACCAAAACTTAGGGGTGACAATGGAAGCCATGACTGGGAATGTAATTGAAAGATATCACGGAAGGGTCGAAGAAATATGGGAGCTTAACTACTCTGGATTGCATAGCGCGACGACGTTCCATGTCAGATGGGCTAAGAATGTACACAGAAAAAACCGACATTTCACTACCATGTGTATACTCGACTCTGATAGCGGTACCGTCAGCGCCATTGCCAAAAATGAGCCATGAGTACATGCTAAACATGTGACACAATGTTTCTTCATAACTGATTCGATCAATCCTAGCCGTGTTGTCGTGAGGAGAAGCAAAAGGAGCATCGCCGGAATGGATGGA